GTCTTACTCGCACCTCTTTGTAGAGGAAAAGAACAGCCCATCAGTTTTACTCTTAAATGTATCTAGAAATTGATCTAGGAATAAACACATTTACAGGTATTTGATTTTATGTATAGAAATGGGAACAGTTTTTATGCTACAGGTAATTTGGGGTTTCCTACACTGTCCTTTTCTAGAGTTTTTTAAAAGTTTGTTCTTTGGCTGAGCTCGCACCTCTTTGTAGAGGAAAAGAACAGCCCATCAGTTTTACTCTTAAATGTATCTAGAAATTGATCTAGGAATAAACACATTTACAGGTATTTGATTTTATGTATAGAAATGGGAACAGTTTTTATGCTACAGGTAATTTGGGGTTTCCTACACTGTCCTTTTCTAGAGTTTTTTAAAAGTTTGTTCTTTGGCTGAGTTTTGGTTCAGATGCATTAATATTTGAGCAGGAAGAACTTCTGCAAGACAGTCCCCACCATGCCTGGGTGGAACAGCTGGGGCTCAAGGAGGGAGGCCCCCAACCCCGCCCCCTTTGCTGAGGCCCCGCCTCCCATGGCGAGGGGAGGAGGCGGGGCAGTGTGCTGAGCATGCTTCCACAGGGAAGGAGATGGAGCAGTGCTTCCCAACCTCCCCGAAGCACTGGGGTGGTGCAGAGAAGCAGGGCAGAGAAGTAGGGCAGCGCATCAAGCGCACCTCAACCTCCCCAGAGCACCGGGGAGGAGCAGAGAGGCGAGGGGAGTATGTGCACAGCGCAGCTCCTGGAGCACGGGGGGAGGAGAGGTGGTCGCGTGGTTCCAGCCTCCACGGCCAGGAGCACAGAGGAGGACAGGCGCTGGGGGCAGCAACACTCTGCCCTCACAATGCCTATAGTCAGACTACAGGCAAGGCCAGACTGGCGGTTTGGGACGGCAGACCCTTGCCCGCCTAAGCCACCGGACACCCATGGTCCCATGTCTGCAAGCTTAAAGATAGCTGGTTAATTCAGAAATGAAAATTGAAGTTTTTAGTGAAATAGAAATGAAAACCCTCCGTGACATGGAGCAGTGGCTCTTGTGAAGTCGGTTTTGTAGCTCAGTCTGTGCTTCCTCCTTAATCCTCGTCTGTTCCAAAACCCTGAAGGTTTAGAACAGAATATTTTTTGCGTGTTTTTTTCTGTCATAACCAGGTGAGGGGTATGGAACTTGCATTCCCTTTGGGAGTCATCTTTCAGCGTGCCCATTGTGTAGTGCAGTCTAGTTTTTAGAAGCGATTCTCTTTTCCTCTTTCACTAGTGTGTCATTGCAGACGTTCTTCAGGTCAGAGACCATATCTTTCTGCGTATCCTGAAAAGTAGCTTTTGCAATATAAATGAACGAGGATAATGACTACTGGATCTATGACAAAAACCTTGTTTCCATTTGCTAATAGAGAACTTTGAATTCCCTGAAGAATTATTTTCCAGAAACTGTCAATGCTTAGTCTCAGACCCAAAGTACAAGAGTAAAGTCTCATCTTTTAAGAGCACTTTTTTTTTTTATCTCCAGTCATTTAAAGTAACAGAACCAAAGAATCTAAAGCAGGACATGTATTCAGCCACTCACGATGAAAAATGGCTGTTAAAAAACCCAGGTCTGCAGCTCTGAGCTGCAGGAGTAGTTCTTAGTTTTGAAAGTAGTTCTGAAGGAATAAATGAGACTACGTGCATGAATAACGGTTGCAAGACTGGGCCCTAAATTTGAGAGGAGAAAAATAAAAAAGTTCCAAGAAGCTGAAAAATCACTTTGAACATGTTCTAAATTGCCTTATAAGCTGCTTTAGCAAATAAGCCTTACCCCAATTTGTGACAGTCAAGTAGGGACCTGGAACGAGCTGACCCAGGATCTAAGTAAAGGGGCTTTTGCAAGGACGTTTGAAAGGCGATGTGTGTCCCCCAAAATAATCTCAGTCTTGAGGATGGCAATAAATAATTGACTTGAGGAAAAAGTCAAAATCTGGCCATAACTGTGGTTCCGCAATGTTCTGCAAATTTTAGTTTCTCTCTTTCTTGTGACGAGAACTCTGTTAGGTACACAGTGTACTAGGCAAAATGATACAAGGCTGCAGCCAAAAACATTGAACTTCAACCCTTTATTGTTCCTTTAGGGGTTTTTAAAGTTTTCCTCTCCTCTGCATCTTTTACCTTCAGAACATGAATGCAGCTTGGCCAAACTGTACGATCTAGCGATAAGTTTTCATGGCAAAGTTGAGAAATGAGACCATCCTTACTTGGGCACCTTGCACATACTGAATTTAGGTATCCTATTAAGTCTTAACAAGGAGTCAGAAAATGCAACATGGTAATGAGATGATACTATCAGAGGGTAATTTTTATTTCTCGATGTGTGTGGCATTCCATTATTTGGTGCCATGTATTTGAGAATGAGTTCAACATCCTATTTCGCAAAGCTTATTACAATATTATTTAACCCCATTTTCCTGGGGAGTTTTGGGTCACTGTAGCACTTTTGCTGCTCTTTTTATTTTGCCTCCTATTTAAACATCCAGGTTCTGGAAAACAAAAGCTCTTCTGTCTCCAACATGCTTTATCACGATACCAGTTGTAGCTGGTGAATTTTATTGTGCCTAAAAGACAAAGGAGCCATTGACCTGCCATCTGGGAGATAAGAGTTTAGAAGAGGCCTGCCTCAGGAGGGTGAAAGAAATAATAGGCTTGGTCGCGGGTATTGGGAGAAGGGATGCCAAACACATGGCATGCGTAGCACCTCCTGCTGACTGATCGCTATGCCAGCATCACTGCTTGTTCCTCTGGGAGATCTCTGACTCCCCTCCCATCTGGTGGTGACTTACTGTCTTAGTGACTGAAAGGAAGGCGGAAGAAAAATAAGCAAGATGCGGGTTAGGAACGTCCCTGGGATGAATGTTGCGGAGGATGGGAGCAGGTATTTTAGGCTGTTCAAAGGTTGCTGCCGAGAACTTCACTGTAAGTTCTCTTGGGTTGGTGGTTTTAGCGTTGAGGAGGAGTGCCATCCTGTGACACCAGACCCATGTTGCTTGTGAGCAGGGTACGTGGCCACGTACTTTCTGAAACCATCCTGCACAGAGGTGCTTTACTTGGAGCTTGTAATGGTTTTCGGCTCTGGATTGGTTTTGAAGTGTATTTTCTTTGTCAAGAATTTTTCTCGTCTAAATGTTCATCTGGGCCCTGTTTGTGTGAGTGTGATCGTTTGCGTTGCGTAGGCGCTGTTCTTTTGGACTGTGTTTTTCATTCTGGACCTATTCCATGTCAGCAGTGGTAGATATGGATGGTGGTGTTGGCTAAGATCCCCTGTTACAGAGCAGAGCCGCATTGTGCTGGGTGTTACCACAAACACAGAGCAAGAAGACATTCCCTGCCTCAAAGGCTGGAATTGAACATCATCTTTTACATCGTCTTCCCCAAAATCTCTGTAGGTATTCTAATCGGCAGTGCTGAAAGAGATTTAGGTGTGATGGCGGATGGCAAATTCGCTGTCGTTTCCAATACACCAATGAGGGTGAATAATTATTTTTCTTATTAGCCTAAAATACTATGGTAAGCAATAAAAAGTAAAATGTATCAATAAAAATGCTACTGCAAATAGATTTTTTTCAACAAAGTTTACAAATGGGAAAGAGATTAAAGAGAAGCTAGATAATTTCATGGAGGTTAGGTCCATAAAAGGCTATTAGCCAGCGGATAAAATGGTGTCCTTGGCCTCTGTTTTTCAGAGGCTAGAGAGAGATGGCAGGAGACAAATCGCTCGATCGTTGTCTTCGGTCCACCCTCTCTGGGGCACCTGGTGCTGGCCACTGTCGGTAGACAGGATACTGGGCTAGAAGGACCTTTGGTCTGACCCAGTACGGCCGTTCTTATGTTCTTATGAAACAGAAGATCACTTCATTTTTATATTGCTAGCCCAGGATGCAATCAGGCACACAGAAAACCTAGAGCAAAGATGTGTGACTTGAATATGGGAATCAGACCTTTTCTTTTTCTCTAAATACTTAACGCCAAGAAACTGAGTTCTAGCACACTGGTATCTTCCTGGTTAAAGCAGGTGAACAATTCTTTTTTTCAAAAGAAACGACGATTTCTTTTACCTCTTCTGAAATTTGATTTGTCCTTTTCATATGTGTTCATTTTTTGATTGCATCCTTTGGTATATATGGTTGTGCCAATTTTCTTCCACTGTTTGATCTGAGGAAGTGGGTCTGGCCCACGAAAGCTCATCACCTAATAAACCATCTTGTTAGTTTTTAAAGTGCTACATAGTCCTGTCTTTTGTTTCAGCTAGACCAGACTAACGCGGCTACATTTCTATAACGATTTCTTTTGTTTCCCTCCTCCTAAAGCTTGGGAAGATGCGGCTAACTATCCCATGTAGGGCCCTGACGTGCTCGCATCTGCAGTGTTTTGATGCCACTCTGTACATTCAAATGAACGAGAAGAAACCTACCTGGGTTTGTCCTGTTTGTGACAAGAAGGCTCCCTACGAACATCTCATAATTGATGGGTAAGTAACATCTGGAGCAAAATGCAGTGCACAGTCTGTAAGTGCGGTGGACAGTGCCTGGTGATGCAGCGCGTTCATATGGATATTGCCCTCGTTTTGTGCTTCCCGGGCTTAGTTCACAGATTGATGCCTGTAAAGCTACAAAGGTGGTGCACCAGATGTCATGTTTTGAAATAGTTCAATTATATATAAACTGTGTCCTAAAAAAGTGCACGAGAGACTGCATCCGTCTTCCTCATCTCAAGCAAACATTTGGTGTAGTACAGGGGTCTCAAACTCCCAGCCCCTGGACCATCCCTGGCCAGAGCAGTTGCGCAGTCTGGCCTTGGATTACTGACGTACTGGGGGGAAGGGGAGTGTCTGTTCCTGATCCCTAACCCCAGCCTCCTCCCCCCCCCCATGGCACCCTGTCCCCCGAGGGAGCCGCCTGAGGGATTTCTAGGGGGGAGGCCTGGTGCGGTGTGGAAGCACCCATTGGGGTCCCCTGCGTTCCCCGTGGTGGCAGGAGCAGAGCGAGTGAGCTCCACTTCCCTGTGGCTCCCACCGCCATGGGGGGGGGCCCAACCACTGCTGCTGTCTTCCCTCCCCTGCCCCCCTGGAGATCCCTGAGGCTGCTCCCTCAGGGGAGGGGTTGCCATGGGGGCAGGGAGGGGCGGAGCTTGGGGGATGGGAACGGACTGTTTTCTCCCACCTCCTCCAAGCCCACCCGTACTCCCCAGCCAGACTACATAACTGCTCCGGGATGATGGCCCACGGTGGGGAGTGAGAGACTCCTGGTCTAGTGTTTCCCTGGAATGTATTTTCAGTCAAGATAAATCCCTAGGTGGAAATAGCAGGCAAGTCCTCACTGTCCTTATTTTAACTCATGTTTTAAAATTTCAGTTTCCTGTTGAAAAACTACTGAGGAGAGAGGAAGGCCCAACATTCTCATAGGACTTAACATTTTCTAGAGAATGGTTCTGGTGTCCCTTAATTTAATCCACTTTAAAGTTCTCCATTTCCTTTTTATTCTTTCAAGAAGGATCTTAAAGGTTTTGTTTCGCAGGTTGTTTATGGAAATCTTGAAGTACTGCACAGACTGCGATGAAATTCAGTTCAAGGAGGACGGGTCATGGGCTCCCATGAGATCCAAAAAGGATGTTCAAGAAGTAACTGCATCTTACAATGGTGTTGATGGTAAGTCGTACATTTTTGAAGGTCCCAATGAAATCTTGTATTGGTAAGCACGTTGTTTAAAATATGAAACTGTGGGTGTGTTTATAAAGGAATACTTTAGTTTGAGGAGCTATGGGACGTAAAAGTTCTTTTTCTGCAGCAGTAGCTTTTTATTGATTTAAACTGAAGTAAGATGTTGAGTAACATTAACATCCATTTGGGCATGTCTGCATTTCTGAATCGTCATTTATACTTCGGATATTGTTTTCTTTTCACTTCTGTTTTGGTGTCCGAGCTTTGTTAATCAAGCACATTTCATTTTAATTTAACCAAGTGATGCTTGTCTTCATGAGCGGTGGGTAGAGGTAGGGCTGGGGGAGGCAAGCTCCCAGCCCCGCCCCTTTTACCCAGGCCCCGCCTCTCACGGGAGCCAAGCCCTCCCCCCGACCCATAGGGAGTGAGACTACATGTAGCCCCACCGTCCCCAGCCTCGGAGCACGGGGAGGGAGGGTGGTGCGGGGGCCCAGCCTTCCTGACCCCAGAGCAGCAACGCTCCACCCCCAGTACATCTACAGCAGGCGTTCCGGGGGCAGTGTGTGGGTGGGGCTAGGCTGGCAGTTCAGGAAGGCAATGCCTTCCCCTGCCTATGATACCCACCGCCCCTGCTTGTCTTCATTGTAATGCATGTACAATATAAATTATGGCTTGAATAATTTCTTTGTTTCTTAAACCTTTATAGGATGCATAAGTTCTTCTTTGGATCATCAGGTGTCTTCTCACCAGCAATCAAATAAAAATAAGAAAGTTGAAGTGATTGATCTAACCATAGACAGCTCCTCCGATGAAGAGGAGGAGGAACCGTCTGCCAAGAGGAGCTGTCCTTCCATATCTCCTGCATCCCCCCTAAACAATAAGGGGTAAGAATTCAGTGGGCACTCATTTTAGTTAAGATGAAAATATGTTCCTGTCAAGCAGTGGGTGAAAACTAATTTCAGGTGGAATGTAATTGTATCAGGGAAGTTCACTATTCAAAGCGTAGCCTTGTGTTTATCACGACAGAACTTGATCACCGCAGACTGTGATCTGATGTCCGTCGCTCATAGCTCACAGAAAGCCTGGGATGTAAAACCATGCAGTGTGCCTGCAGAAGTGAATGTCTGTATTGCTGCAGCTTCACAGGCTGAACTTGAAGGCGCTTACTACAAAGCATCATATTATGAAGCAATTTTTATCCCTGATCTGTGACAAAAAAGGAAAACACTGAAAATGGCCTAGAGCTACTATAGTTTAAGAAACTTCCTTCCAAACCTCTCGAAACATTAATCTTCTCTAGTAAAGAATTGCGGAAAGACAGTACACAACTGAGAACAGCAGCAGGATGAGACACTTACATAGGGGTAGCAATACAGAACACCAGAATCACTAGATACAAATAAATAGCCAGGCTGCTAATAGTGCAGCACTGGCAAAATGTATGCATAGATGAAACCATTGGATCCACACACAGGGATTGTGTGGTGTTCGATTGTTATCCCAGTAATAAAAGCTACCCACTAATCATGTGAGTTTTGTCAAGTTTTTCTTGGCTGTTGGTCCATAGGAAATGCCTTGTAACGCATATAGAAATACATCTTGGGTTGTTATGCAGGCTTTTAACTATGCATATACCTGTTATGCAGGCTTTTAACTATGCATATATCTTTTAAATCTCAGGTCCGTTTTGTGATGGCTTTTCATACTCTTATTCATATAGGCAGTGCTACCCATGCATATTAAAGTTGCCTATATGAGACCTGTTTTTAATCTCTTTATACCTTAGCTAAACTTTAACCAGATAGACATTTGCATGGAAAATTTCAGCCAGCGACAGACTGATATGCTAAGTTTCTGCCCAAATGATTCAGCCATTTCTGAAAACAAGATTAAAGAGAAATGTGGGGTTTCCCCCCCCCCCTATTGTTTAAAAAAAAAAATCTGACAATTGATTTTGTTGAGAAGTTCTAGACTATTATGCTTTAGAGCATGACTTTGAAATCTGGTAGAAGCGGTCCCCTCTTGTGTCAGGGATGTGTCTTTTGCCTGAGTGATACATGATTCTGCGTGTAGCATGACTTAAGTATTAACATTGGTTTTTAAAGCTCTGTACAGTGCATGTGTTGGTAGATTGGTTTTTCCACAAGCAGGAATTTGCAGTCCTCAAACTGTTAACATTTAAATCAAACATGCTTACAAAGTATGAAAATCGTTTTCTTTCCCTTGCAGCATTTTAAATTTACCCCATCAGGCATCTCCTGTTTCAAGAACCCCGAGCCTTCCTGCTGTTGACGCAAATTACATGAATACATCACTTATTCAAGACTACAGGCATCCATTCCACATGACACCTATGCCTTATGACTTACAAGGTTCGGCTTCTCGCTGCTTTGAATTGCATTTAACAAGTTCATGCCATTATGAAGGAGTGTAAAACATACAATTGATTAGTAGTCCAGCCATACAAAATATTTAGGGGATCATAGAAGATCATTGTATGCATAACTGAGGTTAACCTTTATTTGAAGGGATAAAACCACTGAATCTCTTTATAAACTGTACTACTGTATTTTACTACTGTATTTCACTTAGGGAAGTAAAAGGTTAACTGGTTACCCGGTAAGCATCATTTGCTGCTTCAACCCAACTGGGCCCACTGCCCACAGGATCCTAGTTAACCAGTTAAACTTAACGTTTAACCGGTTATCTTTTTATGTGGGATTTTTACATCCCTAATTGCCCTGTCGAGGTATAACTGAGAGTTAAATGTCACAATCATCCACACTTTGGATAAATTATTTGATTTCAGTTGGGGAGGGGAGTGGGCAACATTCTCTTGAGGAAACTGAAATGCTTTTTATTTTAACTTTCCACAGGATTAGATTTCTTCCCTTTCCTATCAGGAGACAATCAGGTAAGTTGTAGAAAAATGCATAATGCAATGCAAGTTAGTTTTGACTACACCCCTTCTAAAGGGCTGCTGTTGAGCCAGTGTGGAGGTTTTTGTAAAGAAGGCTTTACAAATCTTGCATTATTGCACTCATTTTTGTGTAGCAGAAAGAGAGAGACTGCTCAGATTGACTGTCAGTGAGGAGAAATAAAAAATGGAAACCACTGGAAGATAGAGCAAAATGCAAATTACTCTAAATTATTTTAAATTGAAAAAGCAGCTGGTATTTTTCATAAATGTCATTTAAGAGCGGAAAGATCACTACTTTTGGGGCTCACCTGCTTGTTTAAGGGAAAAGGTACTGCTGTGAACCATCGTAGCAACCTCCTCATTTTAAGCACACCACTCCTAGATCTGTTTGAGTGCAGTAAGAGAAGTATATCGCTTTCATGTCACAGTCGTGGGTGGGTTGTGTGTCTCATTTTTGGCTAGAAGATTCTGTTGACATATGAGCAGTTTCTTGCCAATAGATTTTTTTTTTGAGGGGGGGGCAGGATGCGGGGTGGGGGGGAGGAGAAGAAAGGGAAAATACACTGCTTTTCATCATTTGAATAGTTTGGAATTGAGAGATTGCGATGCAGTCAGCGCAAACAGCACTCCTTTTGTTTCCAATTTTCTTTCGGCTTTCGAAACCAAGGGCTTCAGTCCACGTGCTTGTACAGATTGTCTTGCAAAGAAACACGTGGAGAACACAGAGTAGACAAGTGGGTGCCAACTTCTAGAATTCACAAAGCATAGAATACACACACACTTTCTGCTTTGTTTGTGCTGCTGTGAAGAAAACCCGGGGAATCAGAAGCATAACTTTTTACAATTTTGTCTTTTTTTCCGTAGCATTACAACACCTCCCTGCTTGCTGCTGCAGCTGCGGCAGTTTCTGCCTCCGATGATCCAGAACTCTTGCACCCTCGGTTTTTCCCATACACTTCATCCCAGATGTTCCTTGATCAGTTAAACGCAGGAGGAAGCAGTACTCTCCCGGCCACCAATGGTAGCAACAGCGGCAGTAACAGCAGCCTTGTTTCCTCCAACAGCCTGCGAGAAAATCATGGCCATCCAGTTGCAAATAGAAGCAGCACAGACACAGCGTCTATCTTTGGCATACCGGACATTATTTCATTGGACTAAGTCATGGACTCAATGAACTTGCCAGAAAAAGCGATCTTTGTGCTTGGTTTTATCTTACTCTATTTAGAAACGTAGACAAGATTTTTTTTTTTCCTTTTTTAGGAAAAAAAAATTAAGACCTGTACAGAGAACAAAACTATATTTTCAGTTTTACTTTTGTATATAAACCTAAGATGACCTGACTGGTGAAACAAAAAGAAAGAAAAGTATAACAAAAAAAAAAAAAGAAACTTCAGTTCATTTTTCTGGATGCTGAAGATTTTTCACTTACGCATTTCTCCTGTGAGTTGCTTATTTTAGTTTGGACACACCTGGCATTATTTTCTTTACCATAATGTTACTGAAAAAGAAAAGGAATTTTTTGAAGTTTTACGTTGCAGACTTTTTTCTTTTGGAAATACCATTTGCAGCTGGCGGTAGAACTGAATTCCTTTTAACCCTATTCAGCGCACATTTATGATGGATGCTTCAAGTGGTATAAACCCTACTTGTGCTGTTCCACCGCATTCCCTCTGTAGTGCAGGACATAGCTTATGGGAGTGTGTTTTAAATGTCACTTCTGATTCTACACGACTGCATATTCAGTTGGCTTGAAGACTTCTCACTTCTTCATCAAGCATGATGCAGGCTCATTACTGTGTCAGTTACTTGTATGGGCCAGAGTCGATATGATCTCGGACTGAAGTATTGTTTGGACACAAACAATTATAGAATCTGGCCCCATATAAAAACACTGACACGCCTTCACTCTAGAGTTTTCTTTCTAACCTCCAGTATTAATCCTTTAAATAATTGTGCTTCTTATCAACAAGGCACTTAAGCACGTGTTAAATTTTAATGGGATGACTCATGTCCTTTAAATTTAGCAGTGTGTTTAAAGTAGCTTGCTGAATTGGGGCCAAAATGACTCTGTCAGTGAGTGCCCGCTTTAGGCCACAAGAGATTAAATTTCTGCTAAAAACAAATCTGTTAAGCAAAGAGAAGGAAATATGGTTTATTATGCACCTTGCATGGTTTGTGCTGCTGTCAGTGGTAGTGGTACATCATCTTCTGATTTGACATGCATCAAAATTAAGTTACTATTGAATGTTAGACATTAAGCTTAAAAAACCCCCGAAAAACAAAAACCCCACCCAAAACAGCCCGCTCGCTTAACTGTATCAGAGTGTCCGTCTGTAGAAATCTGTTAGTGGACACAAATTGGATTTTTCTCTTTTTGGCCTCCTAGTTATTTTGAGTGATTCCCTGTTTTTAAGTATGCTTATATTGAACTGTGCGAGCCATACCTGCTCTCCAATTCCTGTTACTACTTTTTTTTTAAAAGACATGCATGACATAGGAAAACGTTTTTAGAGCCAATGGATCGCTTGGACTGATCCGTGCTTATGAAATAAACATGTAAATAGATGGAAAGCAGTTTTTCAGGAGATTCTTTAAAATAACAGTTGGGGGGAGGGGAGGGAGTTGATTCTTTTGTGTCCCAAAGTCTGCACCAGAGAGAATGAATATGTCCTCTGGTGTGAAAAATATTTTTTTAGCTAGTTGAAAGTGCAGGTAACAAGCTTATCAGGAAGGATAAGAAGGAATACCACAATTAGCAGATTTCGATCTGAAATTTTATGTCCAAAACAGTTGATATCAGCTAGTTCGAGCATCGACAAGGGCCGCCTTTCGTGTATAAAGTTGTCTCTTAAAATCTTGCATTGATAAAAAAAATTGACTTTAATCCAGGTAGAATTAGGCATTGCTGTAAGATCAGTTGAATGGTAAACCGACAGGTTCACATGAATATGTCGCATCAAAATTGTTTTTAGAGTTTTTACAGCATCCCCTCTGCCACTGAATAGTTGACTTGTATTTTGAAAACAAAATGTTTGTGTTTATATGTAAATGTGTGTGTATATATGTATTTATAGATCAGTGTGTGTGAGCTAAAAGTGAGTTAAATAGTTTTTCCCATGCATGTGTAGTCCAGACATATCTGGCTGATACATATATTTCACCATTCACCAGTTTTATAATTTATTAAATGCCAGATAAAATCAGTAAATAAAGGGAGAAAAGAGGAAACACTTCATTTTTAAATCCAGCCGGAGATTGAAGTATTTGAATCTTCATTAGGAACGTAACTCATTTTTAAAATTTTAGCCTAGCAAATACATTGGTTATTAAATTGGCAATTAGAGAGCAGATGCTTCTCTGTAATACCTCCTATCAATCTGAAGTGACGGATTCCTCTCGCCTTGCACTCGTGTAACTGAGAGCAGATGTGAAACCGGGAATAAAATGAAAGTGAAAGAATGACATTCTGAGGAATTCATGGCTATTTTACATCTGAGTTGTCAGGGTTTGTACTGATTCTGCTGTGTTAAAGGTGAGCTGAAAACCTGCCTTGAAAAGCAAAATTACAGATGTAATTAAAACCTTGGCAACCCTAGAGCACTGAATGTGGCGAATGAGTTGTAAGGATCGGAAATCAAACCAGCTAAATAAGAGCAGGCAGGCTTTTCAGTTCAGCTGTGTGTGTTGTTAATCTCCTTGTTCCACAGAGGATAGCAAATGCTCTTTGGTGTTCCTGTGTTACTCATTCTGGATGTTTTTGTGACTATTTCTGTTTCATTCCCTGAGGTTTTGTAAGATTGATAACGTGCTGGAACTTGGTATCTGGCCACAGTTAACATTATTTAGCAGAAGTCTGAATTCTCCAAGAATTCCTTACAACTTAGGTTTTTTTTAAAAACCATCACTCATTGCATATTTATTAAAGATGCAGGAGTTAGTGCTAACCTGGCTGTAGATGACTGAATCTGTGGGATACCAAATTTTTCCTTTGTCTTCAAATTCTTCCACTAGAAGAGTGAGTGTGTGTGTGTGTGTGTGTGTGTGTGTGTGTGTGTGTGTGTGTCTCTGTCTGTACACACAGATCTGAGCAAATAGCTGTTTGAATAGCAGGGCTAAAGTGGCTTTGAATCACTTTTGTGGGCATTATTGGATGCGTTCTTTTAAAAACAAAATAAAATCTGGACTATGCTAAACTCTAATATACTGAGCATTAAAATATGACATAGTGCTTTCATTAATATAGGCATCGTAGCACTTCTAGGCCTGTTTGTTACCCTTCATGGCATGGATTCAAGAAGTTTCTTAAGGCTGGGATGGCTTGTAGACTTTTATTGAACTGGCTTGGAACTGCCTTCTAATGTAAAGCTAAGAACGGTGAGGAGAGCATATTGAAAGTGAATCCTTCGCTGCATTGACATTTCAGGGTTTTAAAGCACATTTTAATGTGTATTGGAAAGGATTTTGTTTTATCAATGTAAGTGTTTTTTGTTTTTTTTTAACAGAGCTTAGATTTCTAACAAGGGAGAATAGCTGGTGGTCCCAGAAAGTGCTGCTGTTAATTGTTTTAATTAACAAAGGGAAAATGTATATAAACAGAATATTAACAAGTTACCATTAATTCCATGAATTTAAATCCGTGATTCATTGCCTTAAAATTTCTCTTAGTTTCCATATGGCATGCCAAACCAGTAAAATGGCTTTTAAAAATGTATAGTAGACCAATGTCAGTTTGTATAAAAGTACCAAGTGAAAATATTTATTACATGCATTGGAAAAAAAATTGTTTACCTATTGAATGTTACCTGTTTATGTAGAAATCTTTAGATGTAATAAAAAAAATCAGTTATCTTGTCTTTTCTAACTTACATAAAGCCGGATGCTCCTCGTGGAGTGGGGAACTCATGGGACTGTGATTTGCGCAGGCATGCTTCATTGAGAAATGATGTTTTGTAGTATGGGATGTGTCATTTAAGTGGACGCTGTAGACAGATCTGCCACAGGGTAGGCAGGTCAGATTCATACCTTGCAAGCGACAGCATCCCCTCAACACACAGCTCTTGGCTGTTTAAAAGACGCACAAATCGAAACCACCTGCAAAGGTTTTTGTAAGCAAGGCTTGGAGTTCATCATGATTCCCTCATATTGGCCGGTTGGGGCAAGGGAACAGCAAAATCTGCAAGTCAAGTGTTTGTGGGTAAGTGAAAGCAGGAAATAGATGGTACTGGGGTGACTGGCAGAGATTTGGGTCCACTCCCATCTCTTGCAAGACTTTAGGCAAGGCACGGCATCCTTTTGTGCTGCAGATTCCCATCCTGCTTCCAAGAAGGCTGGGGCCCAACTTACTATATGAAATACCCAAGAGGTCTGTGCACAGTACAACTTTTAACCTAGTTTTTGTGGTCAGTACTGACATGGGCTGACTCTAAACACCGTGGCCCCACGCAGTACAAACAAAGCTAGAATCCTGAGCCCACAGCTGACTGTGCGAATGGATCCCTGGTGAGCTAGGTACAGACGTGGGTGCTCCTGTTGGGCATCAGTTGTTGCCTTGTGGTCATGGTTAGTAACCATGGTGGGTTGTCTCTGTGCCTTGCCCTTGCTTGAGGCCTAGACTCTCCCATAGTTGTCATCCAATAACCATTTCAACGTGTGTGTTGCAACGTGAGCAGGACCCAATAACCATGTTCATGTAATTGGGTTGGCCTGTCCTCCTCCATCCCAGCTCTGCATGGCCCCTGATGCCACTGTGTCAAGGTCCTCTGGACATTCGGTGCCATGGTGAGTCTTTGGGCATGTCTACACTGAGAGAGAAGCTTGAATTTAGTAAGGCTGATTTTTTTAGCACCCGATTTTGTAAAGTCAAAGGTGCTTGTCCCCGCTGTGCACGAGAATACAACAAAGTTGGAAGTCGCATGTCCCTAGCAGGGTGGCTGCTGTCGACTTTGAGAGTGATGCACTATGGGTAGGTAACCCACAGTGCTTGCATCCGTATGTACTCTGGGTTATGCTCCCAGTGTGTGCTGGGTGCAAATCTGTGCAGCGGGTCATTCTGGGTACGTCAGCAGCCCATAATGCACTCATCTTCTCCCTCCCCCCTGCTTAAGACCAACAGCAAACAGTGTGCTGGCACCCTTTTTCTCCTTGGTTATCCGCGCAGACACTGTAGCCACGTAAGCCTGGAACCCATCGTGGATCCTGTGGAAGATCAAAGCGTTATGATGAGGATGTTAACCTTGGTGTGTCTAATGCGGGAAAATGTCCAGAGAGTGTCCAGGGTTCTTTGAAACACCTTAGTTGAGAAAATTGCAAATGCCACCAGCGTTTGATTCCTTGGATACAGTGGAACACTGGTTCTGGTGCCGTCAGACCAGCACAGACTGGTGGCATGGGTAAGGCCACTTTCGTGGAAGTTTGCAAATTGCTTTCCCCTGCCCTGAAGTGCAGGAATACCAGAATAAGACCCGCTCTGACAGTGGAGAGGGGAGTGGCAGTTGCCCACCAGAAGCTTGTGATGCCAGATAGCTGGGAATCAATTTGAAATGGGGGAAATCTATCGTGGGGGGCTGCTGTGATCCAGCTAGCCAAAGCGACCAATGCCCTTCTGCTCCTTGGACATCTCTTCCCTAGTCCTTTTTCATCTGCAGGTTTTGTGCCAGCCGGACAGCTGGTAGGGCTGGGCGAGAGCGTGGCAGGCTGACTGCTTTTCCCACTGTAACAGAGGGCGTGTCTAGACTACAGGCTTTTGTTGACAGAGGCTTTGTCGACACACTGTCAACAAAGCCTCTGTCGACAAAGAGCGTCTAGACTACAGCCAGCTCTGTCGACAAAGCAAGCCGCTTTGTCGACAGAGTGTAGATGCAAAGGACAGTGTAGATGCAATAATATCTTTTGTCAACAGAACTCTGTCAACAGAAGGCGTTTTTCCTCGTGAAATGAGGTTTACTGCCGTCGGCAAAACTGCCGCATTCTGTCAACGTTATGTTGACAGAACTCCACTTTCGTCAACAAAACCCTGTAGTCTAGACACACCCAGAAAGTGAAGGGCAGACTTTGCAGGGGAGACACTGTGGAGTGTGAAACCTAATCTGTTAGAATACAATGAAGACCTGTCTAAAGACAATAGCGAAGTGTTATGCTTAAGGCCACAGTTACTTTTTTTAAGTGGCCACTATGCAGCAGGCCAGGTGGGCAGAGGCTCAGAGTTCTTATGGGAGCAGCTGGGCTTGGTCTGGTGGCAGGCATGATGTAAGGGACACGTGGGCTCGGGAAATAGGAAGGGGCCAGGGAGTGGCAGCAGGATAGGGACTCACACCTGGTACTCGTGTGTTTGGCACCCTCCAGGAGAGTGCAACGATCCCTTCCCACAAGACTTGGGAGGGGGTCCATGTATGGTGGCAGAGAAGGGCAGGGGCTCCTGTTTGCCAGGAGAGTGTTACTTTCCCCTCCCGCAGGACCAAGTGGGTAGAGGCTCAAGCCATGCTTCCTTGGGGATGAGCAAAAGGGGGTTTACTGCAGAGGCATCTGCTAATAGCTTCCCCTGCTTCATCCAGGTGGCCATGCGAGATCTCATTCTTCTCGACTCTCAGAGATAAGGAGCGGATGTTGAGTGAATATGCCCAGAAATCTGGGCCTTATGCTGCAATGCTTTGTGCTGCAATGACACCAGACCACTTATTGCTGGCTTGGTGTGGAAAGGTGTCCTGCCGTGGAGGATGGAATAAGGCAGCCTCCCCAGAAACCTTCTGCGAAGGATGCAAGAGTTCCTGTGTGAGAGCGTCATGGAGATGTGCAGGGAGGATTCCCGCTCCATCTCCACACATGTTAACCAGCTGTTCTGGGGACCTTTTCCCCTGCCCTCGCTATGTAGGCACAGTGGCTACCACCGATCACACCTGATTGCTTTAACCTGCTTCCAGCAAAATAAAAAATGTGAATTTGCCAGAAGTGCCCTCCACGGGATCAGGGCCCAGCTGAGAGACGTCCTGGGAGGAGGGGATTGTCTCCGAGGTTATAAAACGTTCTTGGCTCTCAGTGACATCGGTTGCCTTGCTCACCTGCTGACCATTCTCCTCCTTCACTGCAGTGTCCTCCACACTGCTGCCTGAGAGTCACGGGAGGAATCCACGGATTGGGTAGGGACACTGGTTGGGTTCCTCCAAGGGTCGCATGCAGCTGCTCCTAGAAGCGGCATGTTTGTGGCGATGCTCCAGACTGTTCGCTTCCTTTGTCTCTTGGTTCAACTGCCTCAGCTCCTTTCTTTTCACTCGGCGCTGCTGGGCGTCCCTGGTGTATCCTTTTCACCTCCACGCCCTTTGCGATTTTGGCATAGATATTGGCAGTCCTTTGGCTGCTTCATAGTTCTGCCTGAACCAATTCCTCTCCCCACACAGCAGTGAGGTCCTGGATCTCCTGCACGCTTCATGCTGGTTCTCGTCCGTGACCCTGGGAACAGAACTCGTGGTCAGATGCGCTGCTCAGATTTGCTGCCTGCTCTGAGGTCTGCTTGCCATGCTGGTCTCACAGGAAATGAAATTCACATTTTCCCAGGGCATTTCCTGTTCATCTGGAGCGCAGTAGAATTGAAAGCCACGGCCAGAAACATCACCACAGGGCACTGTGAGATACCTCCCGGAGGCCAAGAACAATGACTTTCGCAGCGCCGCACTCCCGTAAAGTCGACCATGCAAGATTGAAGTTAGCAGTTACTCTTTGTGAAAGCAGGAGTACAGAAATCAACTTTAAAGTCCTTAAAGGTGACACAACGGGCTTGTGGTGTGGACTCATTGTTCAGAAAATTGACAGAACGCGACTAAGTTCAGCCTGAACTCCCAGTGTAGACCAGGCCTTTGAGCGAGCTTCCAGAATGCATTGATACTCATGTGGCTAGGGCATCATGGCAGGTGGGGATGCACAAACCAGGTTTCTGTGGCTGATTAACAAAACCCTAGGTACAAAATTCTATGTAGCTGGCCCAAACGTTGGGACCTCTGTTTAATTTTTCATGAATTGAAATGTTCTACCAAGCCAAACGTGGATCCAATCCCACTGATGAATTTAGATGGCCTGCATGGAGCGGTCACATTCTGTGAAATCTGGGTTGGCTTTTTAGAAATGAAAGGTTCTGGCTTCAGTGGCAGAAGAAAAAACTTCTCAAATGTGAACGTGGAGTTTTCCAGAGTCTGCAGCCAGCCTGGAAAAATGCCTGAGGGGCAACGTCTTCCCCCATGCCATCTGAGCTACATTAGGGAATCAATTCTAAAACCTAGCATTGATATCTGTTAACTATGTCATTGCTGGTCATCTGATCAATGGAAGAGCGAAGGACGGGAACAGGAGAGTTGCTGAAGGAAAGAAAGGAGATGGGGGGAGGGACGAGAGCCAATGGATAGAAATAGCAATGTCCTAGCTGGGAGGGTATTACCTTGCTAATGTACTGAAGAGAGATCAGGTACAAGTTTGGGGACTAGATAAAGACCATTGGCTCTGCCAACCTCCCGTTGACACCAGGTGTGCTGTTGATTATGGAGTCTGAAATGTATAGCCGGGTCAAGGGACCATGCTTCAGGCTGAAATTTCAGCCCACGCTGTTGCATGACTTTGATCAGCCCGGGCTGCATTTCTCTGCCATCACCACTGTATTGTGTAAACGCTGCCAATGTGGCATTAGGAGTGTGTGCTGGGCAGCTAGGCCACGACCTCTCGGCCCAGGCCTGTGGCTAGCTTTTCTGCAGAGTTGAGATTTCGTAGCCCAAGCCTATGGTTTCCTGTTTCAGGAGTTACTGTGGGTATCCAACTTCATGGAGAGTCAAGGTGGGTGAGGTGGTACCTTCTAATGGACCAACTTCATGGGGAGACGCAAGCTTTCAACTTCACGGAGACTTCCTTATGGCGTTGCATGTTGACGTAGCTTCCTGATGAATAAAAGGTCATAAACGTGGTAGTATGGAGATCTTGTTCTTCTTTGTCCTCTGCTCCTCAAGAGTCTGGATGAGTAAAATCCTGTTGCCCAGGGAGCCCCTTGCAAAGTAATAGGAAGGCTCATCTTTCTTACAGTTCTCTCTAAGTCCAATCACTATTGTTGCTTTGATTGTTGGAAGAACTCAAATCTGCCTGACGGTTGTCCTCATCCAGACAGTCACTGGGGTTCTGAGCTCTCCTGCCCAGCGCTGTGTTGGCTCAGCTTCTTCATAGCAGCAAGACAGTTGAGTGGTGAGTGGGGTGTATCCCGTGGCTCGAGTGGTAGGCGTGGTCATTCCAAACTTGCCAAGGTCTATGGGTAGCATAGTCAAGCACCCTAGGATACCTGATCCCAGTGACCGACAACCAAGAATAATGAGCGAGCTTGCATGAGTGGCCCTCTGTCATGGTCATGAGGCATGGCCAGCAGCCTGGGGACTAAGGGGTTAACTGTACCTAAGCCAGGTAGCTGTCAGCTGATAGAAATGCAGATAGGGATTTCCAACTGAGACAAAGGAACATTGGGATTTCCCTTCCTTTGTCTCTGAGCTAGTTTTGCTCTAGATACTGAGGGAGACAGAAGACAGGTCTCTCTCCAAGAAAAAGACTCTTCATAATGTGTAAGGAGGGTAAAGTTTAAATAAATCTGTTTGATTGTTTTCTGTTGGGGGACTGTGGATCTGATGCCTGTGCTGTTAGAAATGGGTTTTCCTCCCTTTTGTAACTAAGTCCTGAGCCCATGGGAGTCCCCATGAGTATATTAAGTGGTGACTTTTTCTATCTAGTCATTATGCTTGCAACAGGAGTATTGTTTTGATGATAAAAGTTCTTTCTTTTTTATTAACCTGGTATTGGTTCAGTTCTGTGTCCTGGAAAATCTGTCTGTGGGATCTGCAGGCCTCTGACTAGGGGATAGCAGCCACAGACTGCAGTTTGTATTTTCTCTTTCTTTTTCAGGCTCTTTGGAGAAAAGAGCTTGGGGCGCCCTGGGGTTGGTTTCAAGCGTCCACTCCTGTTAGTGGGTTTAAAAGCACTTGGTGGCGGCAGTGGATTTTTATCCCTAAAATCTAGGTTGTTAAGATTTTGGGGGGAAGCTTTATACCAAAGCCTGGAGAGATCAGGTTTTGGGGTTACTACTGTGGGCCCCCACTTCTGCATTCATCGTGCCAGAGTGGGGAATCAGCCTTTCCACCCTCCATCTTGGAAGGCCGCAACAGCCGGCGGCCTGCTGACGTTCCGCCTGTGGCCCGTAGACCCCCATTTGTCCTCTCCCACACACCTCTCTCATTGGGGCGCCGGAACCCCACACTTCCTACTCCTCTCTCTCCCTCCCAGCACTTCCAGAGCACCTCGAATCACCTGATTTGCGCTCTGTTCCCCAATCTTCCCACACCCTCCCCAAGCTTGAACAGCCACGAGCGGCTGATTCACTGCCTTATACGCAGGGAACAGTCGGACACCACGAGCCCAGCGTGACACCAAATAGCTGTTCTCGCTTCCTATTCTTTACTCTCCGTGACATTAAGGCAGGTAGTTGATTTTGCACTGGAAAAGCCATTTAAAGTATAGCATAATTTCAAAACACTAATTCCTAATCAGTGGGCATGATACGCGTTATACAACGTAACGTGACATTCAGTTTATTTAAAATAATACAGCCAGTATTGGACATGGGACCCTCCATTCCAACTGACAAGGAACAGAGGCCATGCCTCACCATGGGAAAATATTTCACTCTAATAAGGCAAAACACTGATCCGTTAAGGCAAGCAGAGTTAATTCCAGGGAGGACAACCCAGGAAAACAAGCCAGGAAAGTTTGCCTGTTTTCCTACCGACGCAGTCTCCTCATCCTGATATTCAGAAGTCTGCAACGGGAAGGGTGAGGGTGTGGACGAATTCTTCGTATTTCACTATCCCGTTGGGGGCAATGTTTGCTTCTCTTAGAAGGTCATCCACTGTAAATAACAAAAGGCAACAATCTGTTACGCAGCTGGCCGACACTAAGTGAGTTACTTCAAATGTTGGTGGCCGACTGTATTTGTAAAACACCGTGAGAGTTCAGAATGGAGAGGTGACTGGGGGACACGAGCACAGAGGGTCTGTCCTCCCCTGAGGTAAATGTTAGTCCTAGGAAAGCCCATGGAGTTGAGCTGACTTGGATCAAGCATCTCATCCACCCGTTTTTCCTACGGGAGGTTTTACCAGTTTAACCAACTTCTACATTGGTGTAATCCCTGTGTGGACACACTTTGATTTCCGTCTGAGCGGCTTATTTGAGTTTAAATTAAACTTATTCCCTATTGACATAAACTAAACCAGGCTTAAACCAAAATGTGTCCGTGCCAAGGGTTGCACTGGTTTAATGAAGTTAATTTAAATTCACACCTTACAAAGGCCAGTACCACTTTGTCCTATACGCGGGCCCTTAGCAATTGAAACCAAGAGATTTCATTATGGGTTTAGCATTCTAATTATATTTATAAGTAGAAGATTTACCCGGCGTTACCCGCTAGTGCCACAACAGAGCACTACTCCACATATTTCCGTTTTATCTCTTCCCTGTCAGAGAAGCAATTTATTGTGAAGCAATCCTCTTCCAGTTTCATCCTATTTTTCTGGCTCGTCTTGGTTCAGTCTCTTTCAACATCCACTCAGTGATGTCAGTTGCGAGGACTTGTACTCGCTTTGGCCATTCTATCCCTTTTCTGTTTGACTGATTCCAGGCACCTCCCATTTTCCTGGCACACCCAAAGCATGAACTTGCTTGAAGTTGTGATCAGAGGAAGTTGTGTGCTGAATTTGGTGGTCCTAGCTCTTACTCTTTAGGACAGGGGTGGGGAACTTTTCTGGGGTTGGGGCCTGCTGACCCACAGAAAAATCAGTCGGGGGCTGCACAGAAGTGAGAAGCGAGGGGGACCCTCATGAGGAGAAAGACGCTCCCCACATTCTCCTCACACACCTGGGAGAGGGGCCAGCCTAGTAGATTTCGTGTGCTCCAGCTCCCCAGGAGAGCAGTGGGGGGGACGACTGAAGTGCCAACACAGGCTCCCCAATGCTGGGGGGCGGAGCCATGAGCCTCAGGGGCTGGATCCAGGAAAGTTGAGGGCCGCATTCAGCCTCCAGGCCTGAGATTCCCTACCCCTGGTTTGGGAGTTCTTGAACAGACACACAGACAAACTCTCTTCAATACATAGTAGATATGGCTCTAGCAATGCAATAACGGGCTGTGTGTTAGGGGATAAGACGTTGCCACGCCAGTGTCTCTGGAGGACTGTGACAGTGTGATGCTGGCATGATTATGAGGGTTAGCCAGCAGCCTGGGGATTAAGGAGTTAATTACACCTAGCCAGGTGGAGTGACCAGTAGGAATGTAGGTGGGACTTTCAAACTGGGACAAAGGAATTTGGGTTTTTTCTTTTCTCCTTTTTGTCTCTCTGGGTGTGTTCTCTGCAGCTACAGAGAGGGTCAAGCATGTCTCTCTCTCTCTCTCTCTCTCTCTCTCCAAGACACCATTCTTCATTTTCTGTAAGTAGGATAAAGTTTAGGAAGTTTCGTTAGGCTTTATTGTTTTAAGGGTTGGGTTTGGGATCTGAGATCTGGCACTGCTTAAAAGATGTTTGGCTTTACTTTGTGACTAAGTTCTAGGCCCATGGAGTTTCCCCATGAGTATATTTTGTTTCCTTCCCATCTAGTCATTATGCCTGCAACAGGAATATTGTTGTAATAATAAAAGTTTTCTCTTTTCTCTTTATTACCCTGGCATTGGTTACTTGTGTGTCCTGATTTTTATAATAGGGATGAGATTTCCCAAATGATCTTTCCCCTGATTTCTTTATCCATATTTGGGTGGTGGCAGCGGAAGTTTTATTCCCAAGATCTAGGTTTTTAAGATTTTGGGGGAAGTTTTATACCAAAGCCTGGTAGATTAGGCGTTGGGATACATTTGCTGGCCCCCACTTCTTCATTTATCATGCCGGAGTGGGGAAGGAGCCATGACAGATGCATTTCACTATAACTGTGCAAAAGTCCTCACCCCACTACCGCTGTTCGGACGTTGGCCACTCACCAAATTCAGCCGTCCAGAGGGGCAGTTGATACATCTGTGATGGGTGGTCAATTTTCGAGTATCATGTTCAAATGATAAAGTGCCAGTCAGGCATGTTCAGAGAGGACGCAACACATGAAAATGCATCTGCAGTGTCATATTGTATCCTGGAGGACCCAGCAGGTGAGGAAAATACCTTCCGTTGGTGTGAGACAAGTGTTTGCGCTTACGCACAGCTCTCCTTGCGACCTAAGGAAGAGCTCTGTGTAACCTTGGACGTTTCTCTCTCCGCCAGCTCCCCCAACGCAAGCTTGTCATCTCAAACTTATTCTCTCCCCCACCTTGTGTCATGAATACCCTGGGACCAACATGGCTGCAACTCAGCATTGTGCACCAACCCACTGGACATAGGATATCTCCTCTCCAATGTCGGGAGGGAAGAGGAGTCTGGTTCCTTATGCGCTCAGCCCTGCTTCTGGGTCTTCAAAACATATTTCTTTAACAGTAGATTAAAATCAATATTAAAATAAATCTTAAGACTTGTATGGCATCTAATTAAAGCTCTGAATGGCTTGAAAGCATCCTTGCACCACCAGCAGTTGGTCCAATAACAGATAGTCCCTTTCCCGGCTTGTCTGTCCAGTGATTTTGTGGCAGATACCGTTAAGAGACCTTTAAATCCTCTAGTCTCCCCTGGATAGCACTGGCCATCGACGTTCCGTTTGGGTAGGGGGTGGAACAGGTGAACCTGCACTCTGATCACTCAGATGCCCATTAGTTCTGCTTGGGAAAGCTGAGAGGGGGGTAATTAGAAAATCAAGCTGGGCAACTGGATGGGCCAAGAGCCAATGCGCTCAAGGCTGTTGAAGCGGCAGGAAGGACGTGCCAAGGGAGGAGCCTTCTGAGGGCCACAAAGCACTATTGGGGTTATAAATAGACCGGCACAGGGATTTATGGAAATGGTGGCAACGAAAGCACCAGGGTACGGAGAAGGCAGCACCATGTCGTTTCTGGGGGGGAAAAGGCAGGAGAGGAGCCAGGCCTGGTGAGGAAGGGATAATTCACTCTTGGAGGACATCTGTGCAGCGGGGCTATTTCAGTGCCGTGTAGACGTGCAGGCTTTGGGTCCCTTCCACCCCACGGTGTCCTAGAAACAGCCCCATGAGCTGGAATCAGCTGTCACGGGCCACCCACAAGTGTCTAGCGCGTGTGCCTGGGAGGAAATTCCTTCCATCCATTGTGTGTTTTGGGGCCACTCCTGCAGCGTCCAACCCAAGACCCTAATGAGCAGAGTGAATCCAACTGTCCCTCTGTCCCTTCTTACCTCTCAGGACAGCAAGAGTGGACTCCATCTGGACAACCCGTCATGCCGCACTCTCGTTACTCTAAGGTGCGGAGTAACTGTTCTTTGTGTGATCAGAGGAGCTATTTCTACTTTCAACCGAGGAACGATCCTCGTGGTAACCGTATTCCTTTGCAAAGGCAGAAACTTCAAACCCACCACAGCCAAAGCTGAACAGCATTTTAAATACTACACCAGGGTAACATTTACCCATTGCTGTCTGGAAAATGGAGAACGATATTTCACTGGGGAGATGAAGGCTTTTGAACGCCCACGTTAAGCAGCACCATGGACGAAGCCACAAGCTAGTAGTTCCTGATCCTAGCAGACGCCAACGAAATGGAGTCCGTTCCAGCATCAAATGTTTATTGCCGCTTAACAAGCCGGAGTTCGTTGTGTCAAGCCAAGGTCTGAGGTAAATGTCTTATTTGGAGACTTGCTTCATTAATATTGATGGTGCATTGTAATTTAGCTGGCGAACTAAATCTGCTCTCAAATGCAAGTGAAAAGCCCCCCAATGTAGGTAATTGCAGGGCTCCTACCTAAGATGTTTTTAATTATGGCTAATGCTTCCAGAATGTTCTCACTAGTTATTCAGCTTTTAACAATCACTTGAGTGATAACTAACCAGCTTTGAATGCAAAAAGGTGCAGGAGCTGCTATTCTAGAATGTTCCCTTAGGCTACGTCTCCACTGCAGTTATTTTGGAATAAGCTATTCCGGAACTGATATTCCAAAATAGTATATTTCAACATAGCACATCTAGGGTGTGTCTAGACTACAGGGTTTTGTCGACAAAAGTGAACTTTTGTCGACAAAACTATACCTGCGTCTACACTACCACCAAGTTCTGTTAACATAACGGCGACAGAACTCGGCAGTTTTGTTGATGGTGGTAAACCTCATTCTACGAGGAATAACGCCTTCTGTCGACAGAAGGCGTTATTGCATCTACACTGTCCTTTGCATCTACACTCTGTCAACAAAGCGGCTTGCTTTGTCGACAGAACTGGATGTAGTCTAGACGCTCTTTGTCGACAGAAGCTTTGTCGACAGTATCTGTCGACAAAGCCTCTGTTGACAAAAGTCTGAAGTCTAGACATACCCCTACACTGCAGGGAAGCCTCTAAATTAGTCTGAGGAAGATTTCCCTAATGTAGACGCGCTATCTCGATTTAGAGCCCTAGGAGGAACAACTTAGAAGGGGGCTGGTGAGGGGGTATTTCGAAATAGCAGCAGTGGAGTGTCTACACACTCCTTATTTCAAAACAGCTATTTCGGAATAGGTGGTGTTCTTCGTAGAATGAGGTTTACAGAACTTGGAATAAGCCATCCGTTATTTCAAAATAATTTCAAAATAACGGAATTGCTGTGTAGATGCTCGCACAGTTATTTCAGAATAACGGCCATAATCCAAAATAACTTTGCTGTGAAGACACACCCTTAGTGGGATATGCTAACAGACTGTTGCCTGACTTCTCCCTGAAAATTGATTGAGCTAATAATGGTAAAGGATGGAGTACAGGTTGAACCTCCCTAGTCTGGCACCCTCGAGACCTGATTCTGAACCAGAGAATTTTCTGGACCACGGGAGGTCAATATTGTCTAGCAGCATCAGCAACGTTTCCATGGCTTACTGGGCTGGTAGATGACATTTAGGGGTAAGTTAGAGCTAAATAATAGCACAGAACACTGAGAGCCAGGATGGGTGGCTGTAAACAAATGTTTATGGGGCTGGGGGAAATTGGCCACCTCGATGAAAAGTGGACATCCGACGGATGTTTCTGGACCAGGGAGTTCTGAACTAGAGAGGTTCAACCTATATTTTAAATCTGTGCCAATTGCATTGAAATTCCATGTGAGTCTTAATAAGGGCAGTTCTTGTACCACTGAAGAGCCTGGGGGCAGGAACTCCAAGTCGGTTGACTTGGGCTTTAACGCAAATCTTGCCGAATCTGCCAGACTCTAGAGAGATCTTGCCAGTCTTCCTAACTATCAGAGGGATTCAGTCACTTCACAGCTAGGCAGCCTCTTGCCTGGAATATGACACAACGAACAAAGCTTTGAGAGCGCTGCTGTCAAAAGTGAGGTGTAGCTGACTGAGTTTGGAGTAATTAAGAGTCACAAACATTTTAAATATCTGGTGGTACTCAGGGTGCTGGAACAATTTGTATATTGGGAAGGGAGAGGGTGCTAAGAGCCACTGACAGAAACATAGGAAGGAAATTACATCAAGCCAACAGCTACTTCCCACAGCGGTGGTGGCGACCACACTTGGCAAATTTCCGAACATGACTTGTTGAGATTCCCCTCAGATTTAGACTCCCCCCCCCAGAAAAGCTTCAGTCCACAGACGTGTCACATTTGAAGCAGAAAAAGCTTTTCTGGGGATTGTAAAAGGTGGAGGCAAAATCGGCCACCTAAAACCATAGAATCATAGAATACTAGGACTGGAAGGGACCTCGAGAGGTCATTGAGTCCAGTCCCCTGCCCCCATGGCAGGACCAAATACTGTCTAGACCATCCCTGATAGACATTTATCTAACCTACTCTTAAATATCTCCAGAGATGGGGATTCCACAACCTCCCTGGGCAATTTATTCCAGTGTTTGACCTCCCTGACAGTCAGGAACATTTTCCTAATGTCCAACCTAAACCTCCCTTGCTGCAGTTTAAGCCCATTGCTTCTTGTTCTATCCCCAGAGGCCAAGATGAACAAGTTTTCTCCCTCCTCCTTATGACACCCTTTTAGATACCTGAAAACGACTATCATGTCCCCCCTCAGTCTTCTCTTTTCCAAACTAAACAAGCCCAATTCCTTCAGCCTTCCTTCATAGGTCTTGTTCTCTAGACCTTTCATCATTCTTGTTGCTCTTCTCTGGACCCTCTCCAATTTCTCCACATCTTTCTTGAAATGCGGTGCCCAGAACTGGATACAATATTCCAACTGTGGCCTCTTAGTTCTTCGGCAGGGCTCTGATCCTGCACCTTCTGATGGCTGCTACCATGGGCCAACCCCCCGTTACGCAGGTGTGAACGGAGAATCACTCACCTAGAGGTGCTTCAGACTCACACCTGTGTAAGGAAGCCCAGACAATGGCCTAAAAGAGCATTCTTTTCTCTCAGCGCATCGCCTACTGGGTTTCTTTCTGCAGGTGAACCCCAAGAGCAGGGATCTGTTCTGACTGTCTGCTGCCACTCGACTGCTCCCTAGGCTCCGCCCCACTTTAATGTGAGGTGAACAACATATTGATGGACAGAGACGATCTTTAGGGGCGGGCTGTAACCACATTTTGGCCTGACCTCCCGAATCCTCCCCCCAGGTTTCCCTGGTTACTCCCCAACTTTTTTTTTTTTTTTTTTTTTTTTGCTCAACAAATTCCCCCCCAACGGTTTTGGTTTTGTATTTTTTTTTTTTTTTTTTTTTGCTTGACAAATTTTTGTGCTGTGTGGTGTTTTTTGGAAACCATCTGGCAACCCTACGGGTGAGCCGGGTGGTTGCCCTTGGCCGCCAATTGGTTAGGCCCAGCCCTGTTGATGGAAAGAAGGCAGCGCCTTGTCTGTGATTTAGATCAGCACCTCATTTTGGGGCTGCAGAGCGGTATGTGGCTTGGTCTGTCTTGCCTCTTGTTCTGCCCAGTGTAGGAAAGGTACCGATGGTTTCAGAAGAGCAGCAGGAGCACGGTGGGAAGTTACAGAGAGCAACTCCGTGACGTGGCAACCGTGTATGCAGGTAACTTAACCTTTCCTACAGGTGCTGTCCTGCACCCCGGGTCTCCGCCAGCTCGTTAACTAGCACTCCGCTGGCTTTTGCCGCTGCTCAGCCAGTTCTTACCAGAGCGGTGCACCTTGGTGCACCTATCTTCTAGAACTGGGAAGGGACCTTGAAAGGTCATCAGGTCCAGTCCCCTGCCTTCACAGCAGGACCAAGTACCATCCCTGATGAATTTTTGCCCCAAATCCCTAAATGGCCTCTGCAAGGATTGAACTCTCAACCCTGGGTTTAGCAGGCCAATGCTCAAACCACTGAGCTATCCCTCCCCCCTGCTTAATTTCACCTCTGACCCTGAAGATTTTTGGTGCCTTGCATAGCTAAAGCACCTGCACCTGCAGGGGAGAGGGCAGCCGTTCCATGGGGTAGGGCTGTGTGGGCAGGAGCTTGGGGGGCCGGGAGGAGGGTAGGGAGACGGGTGTGGGAACAGGAAGACCGAGTGGCACAGGTGGCTGGACCTGCAGGCAGAACGGCCTACCAAAACTGCAGGGATGGGGGAGGTGTCAGAGGATTGGGTCAGGGAGACCGGAGGCCAGGGGATTGGATCTAACGAGGCTGGGAAGCGGAGCAGGGAGCTGGGGGATTGGGTCCAATGAGGCTGGGAGGCGGGGGACTGGGAGATTGGAGCCACTGGAGATGGTGCTGCCTGGGGTCCCAAATTTAGTGGTGCCCCTCGCAACAGCGTAGGTCTAATGCTGGCCCTGCATGTGTGGCAGGAGTGTGATGACCTAGAATTGTGACCACACAATGTAATACTGTACGGCTTGTGCTCTGATACCAGGATTCTGGGCTGGGATTGGGCCATGACCCTGTGACTTGGCTAACCAATGAGGCGTGTGCCTCAACTCCTAGGCTCAGGCCTGGGCAGAAGTGGTCACGTGCGCTGCATCCGCAGGTGTTGGTCACCGCCTGCCTGACTGGCCCTGGGGAGGCGGGGGAGGGAGAAGAGGTGGCTAGGAGTGGGTTGAACGTAGGCTGCCGTGGGACGTGTACCCTCGCCCTCCGAGAGGTTT